TCTCTCTCTCTCCTCTTCTCTCTCTCTCTCTCTCTCTCCTCTCTTCTCTCTCTCCTCTCTTCTCTCTTCTCTCTTCTCTCTTCTCTCTTCTTCTCTCTCTTTCTGCAGATTTTTGATGTACACATGCTAGAGAATTAGTCCTAACACTGATCCTTGTGGAATTGATGCAGTTATATGAAACTCTGGATTAAAGGCTGTTTGTAGCTACACAAAGGTTTCTAACTAACTTAAAATGCAAGATTGTCTAATCTTGCATTAGTGTATACAAGTCACCTGAGATGTTTAGAGAGACCACCATGGCAGACCTTTTCAAAAGTATTTGCAGGATCAAGAACACTTAGAGTGGTGTCTTTCCCAGTGTCTTGTCCTAGAACAAGAAACTGCTCATTAAGACATATGATGCAAATCTCCTCTTTCTGAGTCCATATTGCTGATCTGTATGATATTTTGATCAAAGAAACTTTCAGTCTGATCATTAGTTACTCTTTCAGAAATTCTGCTGAAGATGGATAGCAAAGAATCTGTGGTTCTTTGCATTCAACTTGCTAGATTTTTTGTGTACAGAAACTAGATGTGCAATATAGTCTACTAGATCTTTGGTCATGTCTTTTTTCTCATTCTTTCTTTTTTTCTTTAATGTTTCCTGCAACTTTGTGAGTTACCTATAGCCATTTTCTGTTATTAGAACTTCACTTCATTTGTTTTGTATTTTTATATAAACACACTGTTGACCTGCTACTTCAATATTTCTCCATCCTTACTTTTCAGAATCATCCAGTGACAATGAGGATAAAATGGAAGTTGAAGAAGAAGCTTTGGAGCCCTCCAAGCCAGTCAAGACTGTCAGTCAAAATGGAGTCAAGATGAAATTGGATTCTTTTAAGTAAGTCTTATTCATGTGTGTGATTAATTTATATATAGACAAGTCTACCACTACATGGAATATTTAGATTTTTTTTACATTAGCTGTACAGATTTTTTGTTCATATATGACCACTTGTTATAAAAAGTCTTTTGTTACACCATTATCACTTATGCATCCTGTTAAAACAGCAGGCCACAGTGTAGTAATAGTGACAGCAGCCCCAGTGGTAGCCAGGCAACAGAAAAAAAAACATCTAGCAAACCAGGGTTAATGAAAGCACTGCCCGGATTGAAGCTCACACCTCTAGAGCAGCAAGTTGTGGCTATCAAAAATAAGCACCTTGATACAGTTCTCTTTGTGGAGTGTGGCTATAAGTACAGGTAAGCTAAGCTAGTGTATATCAGATTCTTGCTTGTCTTTCATTTAATTGTTTATAGAATGATTGGGCCAGATAACATTTTTCTTACTCAAAAGATATTGATTGTATAAGATATTAAAATTAAGCCTTGATATTAGGTGTATGGTTTGCCAGGAAATGTTGGAATTTTATCTTATCCCAGAGATGAGAGTAAAGGCAAGGTTAACTTCATGGATAATGTGGCTATTTTTAAACATTTACAGATTTTTTGGACATGATGCAGAAATTGCAGCAAAGGAACTAAACATTGTTGCTCATTTAGATCACAGTTTTATGACAGCCAGCATCCCTACACACCGACTGCATGTTCATGTCAGGAGACTTGTAGCTAAAGGTATTTTTTTATTGTATAGTGTAGATTTAAAAGTTTTATATTAATTTCATATATTCAGTACAATTGATTGTATATGGATATGGATAAAGTTATTATTATTTGTATATATTTTCATTAAAAGTCATTTTTGAGTAAACAAAAGTAATAAACCAAACTATAATGGGCAGTATCATTATTTGATGTTCAGATTTAGGTGATATTGATTAATGCTTGAATTTATTTTTGTTTCAGTATTGAATATATATAATCTTGTATAGTTATTAGTTATATTCTAAATTGAAAATTCATGTGATTTGATGAAGGTCATAGCTAATTATGAATTAAATTATATTTACTAGGTTACAAAGTTGGTGTGGTTAAGCAGACTGAAACAGCTGCATTGAAGGCAGCTGGAAGCAATAAGAGTGCTCCTTTCGAACGGCAATTGACTGCTATGTACACAAGATCCACCCTCATTGGGGAGGATGTAACACCAGCAGGAGGAGGAGATGGAGTTGATGATGGAGACTTGTCTGAAGGGACAACAGCAATGCTCTTGGTTGTCAGTGAGGGCAAAAGCTCAGGAGGAAAGGATGGTACTGTGGGAATTTCTCTTGTGGTGAGTAGTTGTGTGACAGAGTATATGGACATTTTGATCCATTGGATAAATATTCTATCAAAGTTTGTCAGGCTGGGTGCATTAGCATGTCCAGCTCCATGCCTGGGCTCCAGATGCATCATCCCAGTTGCCAGGGCCTCATGACAGTCAAATTTTCAAATGTTCAACCTCGTTTTCACTTTTGTTGTGAATGAATAGAACATAGAATAACAGCTGTATTACTCATCCTTTCCTCTAAATTGCAGGCCATCCAACCAAGCACTGGAGACATTCTCTATGATCACTTTGATGATTCCTCAACTCGCACAGAGCTCTGGTGTCGTTTGGACCACATCCAGCCAGTCGAGGCTCTTGTACCAGAGAGCATCTCTGAACTAACAGTTAGAGCAGTTACCTCTGCAACCACTAAGTAATGGCAATTTACTGTATGAACTGGTATCATTTATATTAAATGAAATGATACCTTGTGTGATATGATATGTATACTTAGCTTAATATTCTAATGTTGGTATCCATCCATTACAGTAGTAGTAGTAGTAGTTTTAGTAGTAATAGTAATAGAAGTAGTAGTAGTAGTAGTAGTAGTAGTAGTAGTAGTAGTATATGATAGGTATAATTAATATTCTAATGCTGGTATTCATCCATTACAGTAGTTGTAGTAGTATTAGTATTAGTAGTATTTTTGTTTTATTTATTTTATATTTTGTTATTTTATTATTATTCTTTTACACCTTGTGCTTGAATATTGTTTTATAATTGACTTGAAAGGTTTATTTAATATTGATTGTATGTGAAACAATAATAATCATATGATCATTCTCTACTTCAGAAATGAGGATTGCATTCGGATAGAGAGGCTTACAGACACAAAATTTGATTACTCTGAGTCTCTGAAGAAAGTGTGTGAACTGTTTGATGGTGATGAGAACATGACCAAACATGTGTCTGGGCTGCCCTCAGATGTTGTTGGCTGCTTAGGTGCAACTCTGGATTATCTTGCAGAGTTCAAATTGGACCGTATTATAAAAATGGCAGGGTAAGTCCACAGTGAGTGTGATGGTAAGCCTTGTAAACCACTTCTGTCTTCACATACAAATTGAGCACATTTTCACTCAGTTGATATTTATGTCCGTTAATGAAGGTGATCAAATGATACATTCGGTCTATTATAGAGAGAATTTTTTTTGCTAATGATTATTAAGAATTATCTTGGAAAAGCCAGATTATCCAAGGTGCATGGATATGGCAACTATTTTTTATCTTATCGCAGATATATTTACTACATTATGGTATTAACCCATCGGATCCGGTTGCGCCACGGTGCTGAAAATACGGGCAGTTGGTTACATAAGTAGCCAACATCCTGGGCATGCAGTGCATAGGCCGGGCATGCACAAACACCCATGAGTAGTGATAAGACTGTGTCTCCCCTTGGCAAGGTTATTTTTTCTAAACTTTTTTTTAGCCTTTTTGCCATTTTCCAATTTATCTTTTGATTTGCTTTATCCAGATGGTAATAGCTTATTTTCCTTGCACAGATTCCATATCATCTCTCTATATAGTAAATAAAAAAAAAGTATGGAACATTTGGTTATTTATGTCATATATCTCATTTTTTCATTTTTTTTCAATTTTCCATAATACAACCTGCACTGCCGGTCACAACAGCCAGGAATACAGTGCGCAGCATGGAAATGGTGTCTTCCCTGGAGCCAGTGCTCTTCCAGTCACGGTTACGCACCTTACATTCCACATTCATTTATCAATTAAAATAATGCTAAAGCCCTCTTCTAAGCGCCAAATGAGTTAAATCTCACTCCAAGAGGTTTGTGCACTCATGGCGAGTCTTTTGTCATCCTGGCCTTCGCTCATGACGACAAATTGGCGTGACCCGGCCCTCAACGTAGATTTTTCCATGATGGAACCATAATGCCATCCAGATCATAGGGTTAACCGGAGTAATAATGATCTTACTGATAATTGTAAAGAATATATAGAAAACTAAAAGGAAAAATGTGGACTATAGTAGAAACCACTTCCTATTGTATTATCAAAGCAAGTGATTCTACACATAAGCTGGTACAAAATCTTTGTATGTTTTCTTAATGGTAATAACTGATGTTATTATTTATTATTATGACTTCCATTACAATATATCCCGTTTTTGAATCTCCAAGGTGATCTGTGTATAACATTCATAGTCAATATTTCTTTCTCTTCAGTCTACAAAGAAGTAGTCTTTATGTTATTGTAAGTTCTTACTTATTTTGGCCAACAGGTCCATACGACAATACACCAGTGAAAAGCACCACATGCGACTGTCTGGTGCAACAGTACGCAATTTGGAAGTCATAGCAAATGGAGTGGATGGGGGAACTAAAGGAAGTTTATTCTGGGCTCTTAATAATACCCAGACAAAGTTCGGATCTAGGTAAATTCTTTTTTACTTGCTTGTAGTATGAACATTGATAGATTTTGAAGTAATAGTAATAATGATTTTGAAGTTGTTTTTAGTGAAGAGTATTGAATATTTATTTATATTTCTGACAGAAATTTATGTGACTATAAAGGTTTAATATCTGTAACACCTTACATAGCAAACATCTTATTCATGTAATAAGAGTAATATCTTAGCCCTCCATGTATCAATATATAGATTATTTATATTATTTATCATAATAGTAATTTATTTTTAGGGGGCATGTCCTAAGTTGAAACATGTTTAGCATAATGGTTTATTCATTTCAATCCCATGCAAAGTTTTAGAATGGGAATTAAACCCTTTTTCCCATAGGCTTCTTCGCCACTGGGTGGTTCAACCCTTACTGAGTTTAGAAGATATTATAGAACGTCAAGACATGATTGAGGAGTTGATGAACTCTGATGCTCCAGTTATAGTGTCACTGAAGAATGTTTTGAATAAACTACCAGATTTTGAAAGGGCACTCACGACAATATTCCACAAAAAAGTAGGTTTCCTTCCTTGATAGATTATAGAACAGAAGCTTTCTTCATTTTTGTGCATTCTGTTGCCTTGACTGTGTTGGCTTTTCACTCATCTTATGTATTCTCTAAGTTACTATTCACTGATCTGATATTTCTTCTTATTAGTCATTCACTTATCTGATGTTTTTTTGAATTGCTATTCACTTATCTGATGTTCCTTCTGAGTAGTTATTCACTTATATGACATCTTTTTGAGTTGCTAATCACTTATCTGATGTTTCTTCTAAGTTGTCTTTCACTTATCTGATATCTTTTTAAGTATAGGTTCACACTGTATTTTCATTATAGTGCAGTCCTCATGAGTTCTGGTTAGCTGTAAGTGGACTGAGTCGAGTACACAGAGAGCTCTTACGAGTCGGCGGTAATGTTGGAGACACAGTACAAACACCAGGATTAGTGAAGCGCTTGCAGGAAGTTCTTGATGGCCTGGCAAATGTTGAAGATTTTGCAAACAATATTGATCCATCCAGTGCCAAGTAAGCATTCTTGAGTGTTATTTTTGGAATACAAATATAGAATTTTAGGATTATAAGTGTTTATATGTGTATGGAGATTTTATTAATATTTGTAGGTTATTATGTACACCATATATAT